TGTTATGCCCCATTCCTTGCACTCACTTAAAATCTCTCTTTGTGGTTCATGAACATGTTTGATTGTTTTATCTAATCCAGTGTGTTTAAATGGAAGTGTCTGGGCAACTCAATGTGACACCAAGCCCTGAGCGACCCTGTTCTGCGCCCTCCTCACTCCCAGCACAGAGCCTCCAATGCCCCTTACCCGTCTGTCCTCCACCAGAGCCTCCAAAGGCCCCTACCTGCCTCTCTAGTGTGAAGGCTCCAGCACGCCTTCTCTGCCCTCCCCATTGTGCAGATCCCCCCACCACTTCCTTGCCCCTCCCCTCCGGCACAGAGCCCCCAGCGCCCCTCACCCAGGCTGCTCGCCGTCACCTCCCACTGGAAGGTTTTCCCTTCGTCTGCACAGAGGCAGCTGGTGTAGGCGTCGTCCTCGCCCGCCTGCAGTTGGAACTGCGCAGACTCCGCCAGCGTCAGCTGCACCTGTGGGGCCAACACGAGATCCCCCTTAGGGCTGTGGGGGACGCGCTCACACGCGCCAGCTCCAGCCGAGACGTGACCCCTCTGGGGCTCAGGCCCCACTCACCGCGATGTGCTGACCCCAGTGGTCACAGGGTCACAGCCAGTGACTGCCGATGCCACTCGCCGGCCTGCGCCGCTGCCCAGCTCCCCAGCCCCAGGTCACCAGCCCCAGCAGCTCCAGCAGGTCAGCCCCGGGCGGCGCTCACCTTGATGCACTGCTGCAGGTAGTTGAAGACGGTGGCCTTTAGGGCAAAGGCCTCTCCCCGGATCACGGAGTACGGCAAGGCCAGCTCCACAAAGAAGGGTTTGACGGCCGTGAAGGTGACCGTGGGCGAGAGCCCAAAGCCCACCTCCGCCGTGCAAAACATCCCAGCTTTCCACTCCGTGATGGTGTCGGGCACCGAGACTGGGACGTCTTTGGAGCCCCCCTCGCTGGGCCGGGACGGACACAAACAGCACGTCAGACACGCTGCCGCCCCGTGGGAAGTACCCATGAGCACGGCCACCAGAGACGTCCCTGCCCGACCCTCCGCTGGGTTGGGGCCTTGACCGGTGGCATGGAAACAGGCCAATCCCAGACAGCAGAGAGGGGAAGAGCTGTCAGTGGCCCCCCTCTCGTCCCCTCCTCCGCCCACGCCAGCTAGCGCAGGATCCTTCCCTGCCCCGGGACTCTCCGGGCTGGGCTCAATGTCCCACGGGATGGGGATCCCCCCTTCCGCAGCCAGACACGTCTCCCTGTCAGGGGGCTATTCCTGGGGTCAGCCTCAATTCCCCCTGCTTGGGATCCCCTGCCCCTTCCACTTGTACCCCATGTGCCACCCTCCATGCCCCCTTCCCGGGGGTTCAAACCCCTCCCATGTTCTCAGTGCTGGAGCTCCCGGGCACCGCGTGGGAATGAAAACACCACAAAGGGCAATGGGGTCGGATGATAACCCCCCTGCCGACCTGACAGGATCCAGGGAATGGCTGGGGAGGGGCTGGTGCGAACCCCGCTTTGCGGGCGAGACGCAGGGTCATGGTGCTGCCCGGGCTCCCAGCTCTCTCCCCCACTCTGCGGGTCCTTTACATCTGTAAAGAGACGAATCCCACGGCCCTGGGGGCTTGTTATTCCTCGTTGCTGTGCTGGGTTCCTCTCCGCTGGCAACAGGGCGCAGGAACCAGCCCCACGCAGGCAGCCAGCCTTCCCCCAGCCAGTGTGCCGCCTCTGGGAGCTGCTGCTTTCGAGGGTCTGGCCTGGAGGCCGCTCCGCAGGGACGGTCTGTGACAGCTCCTCACTCACCCCACAGGCACCAGGTCCCACAGCCACGTCTCTGTGAAGTACGCACGTGGCGCTGGCGCCTCCTGGGTGCAGGCTCCTGGCACTAGCCGGCCATTGCTCACTGGGGTCCCTGCTGCACTATCCACACTTGCTGCCCCACGGATCATGCCAAGAAAAGATACAAAGGGGGGTTGAGGGAGCCCCACTCTGGTTTATGGGCAAATCCAGACAATGATTCACGTGTTTGCACCTGCAAAGTCTCGATGTTTGGGGACATTTCGGGGGCTGCACATGGCCCCCGGGAGCTCTGAGAACTGACCCCTGCTGGCAGGGCTGGGGCTGGAGGGGGTCAGGCTGGGGGTGTCCTACGTGCAGCACACGCTGGTGGACTCAGCACATGGGCGGGAGCCAGGGAGTCCTGAGCTCAGTCCCAGCTCTGCCCCGAGCAGTGTCAAGGGTACGTTGCACTCCCAGAGCCCTGCACAAAGAGCCGCTAGCCAGGCAGGTCAAATCATTAGCCTCACTGAGCAGCTGGGACATGGAGGCCTAGGGAGGCTCAGTGCGTTTCTACCGCAACCACCGAGCACGAGTGGGCATTGCAGGACCCCATGTGATCACCTCCATAACACCCAGCTTGACTCTCAGATCCCAGGGCAGTGTGTGGTGCTGGTTCTAGAAAAGCCATCGGTCTCCGTGTGAAGCGAGTGTATCTGGGCTGG